AATATATTCAGTCCACTTTACTTTGAAAAAGTATGCACCTCAAGTAGAACTCTTAAAGTCGATAAAGACTTTGAAAAATTTTGACCTTGCCCTTTTATGCTTCAGTTTCCTGTTATAAAATGAAGCTTTAAAGTAAAATCTTAAAAACCTTATACTACCTAAAGCAATTACACACTGATGAGATCTACAGAAAAGCTTACTAAGAGTTAATAATTCTGTATACAGTAAGGGTTTGTATCTTGCAGTAAAAAGGGGCACAATCCCAGATCAAATGTAAAGAATAAAAGGAAGTGTTGAATAGACATGATCGGTCTTGAGGAAATGCAAACATCCGTAGGAAAATACATCACTGATACTGTAACTTAAGCACTTTGTAATGTAAAGACCCAGGGGAGACTTGATGCTGATGGACTACTATAATTCTGATTTGTCTCTATGGCCTAATACAATTTTTGTCCAACTTTCATTTTTTTCAAACCAGAACGTACAGATGTTTCTTGAGTTGGAGCCACGTGTGAGTGGTCAGTCTAGCTGCAAAACTTGGGTTTGCATCACATGTAAGCAGCAGTAGATAAATCAGCTACTACTGTAGCTGGCAGACTGTCAGATTGTCCTCTATGGACTGTCCAGTTTAGGGGCGTGACACACTTGTGAGAATGTGCATCTCTGCTTGCTTGCTGGCCAGTAGAGGAGTGCTGACATTGAAAAGTTTCAAGATTTGTTTTTTGTGGGTTTTCTGTGTGTTTATAGTTGTCTGTCTTTTCTGTGTTCAGTTCAGGCTGTTTTCTTCCATGCTGTTTGTGTCAGCCCTGACGTTACAGGAGGGCAGTCTCTGTGTTGCTACAGTGCTTAGAATAAGTAATTAAAGGGTAAGACTGCACAGCCCATGAGCAGGTTAGTACATAGAGGTCTTCTGGCATACAGCATGCTTTATACAGGTAAAGCGTTCAGAGGCTTTAGCTGCAAGTCTGATGAATCTTTCCGAGGTATGTGTGAAGAATGATTTTTCTCAGCAAATTTGGAGAGGTTTTTGCAATGATTATCAATATGTATACATCTTTAAACAACTATTTAAATGTTTAAAAGAAAAAAAAAATTGAAACAAGGTGTCAGTTGAGTTTTCCATGCTGCTGTATGTAGGGAGTTAAGAGAAAACAGAAGAACCTTTGCCAGTAAAATAAGCCAGCAAGACGTTGCTTAAGTCAGTGTATGATTCTATTCTTTTACAAATTGTCTACAGGAAGGTATTTTAGAAGCAAGCCTCAGAGTATGTAGTAATAGTTTCCAGAAAGTGTACCTAAGATGTTTAATTAACATCTTATAAAAATATACAAATAATTGTTGAAGCTATTTTTGTAGCACATTTAGATAAACATGTGACGTTTTATAGAAACATCTTTATTTTTTAAATAAGCACACTGTCCTAAATATTAGTAAATTGCTTGCAAACCTGTTTTTATTTCTCTGTATTATATATATTTTAAACATGTATATATAGTTATTTATATATTTTACTGTACTATTTGCTTTCCAAAAGTGATGAAAGAGGCTTATGACATTTTAAATAGGCATGATGTGAAAGTATTTTACCTTTGCATTGAAAGTATGGAACAAACACCAAAAAAGCCAGATTACTTTCTGGTTTAAGTACCGAAGTTGATTATACTGCCGAGATTATTTCATGGTTTTCCCATGTTCAGCTCTGATCCTATTTCTCAGTGTAACTCAAAAGAATTCTACATATGGGTTTCTTTATGCTACTGAAAGGAATTTAGGGTTGGAAGGCTTACAGAAGAAAGTTGCAGTTCAGTGGACTGTTGTAAGAATGATTTCACTGAACTGTTCAGTTTATCTGAAGAGAGAAGTTATGGCTGGAGTTTCACATTCAGATTGGATTGCTTCAGGAACCATCTTTTTTCTATGGGACAAGGTGTTTGCTGTTGCCTGGGTAACAATCCAAGGTGGCTATAATTCATCTCTAGCGATTGGGTTAGCAGTTTACATACTTTATTTCTCATTTGGTCGGGTGAGTAACATTTTTGTCAAGATGGCGTTTAAGTTGCTGTTTTGGTTTTCAGGGGAAGAGTATTTTCTAAATCTTCTTTCTTACTGTGATATTCTCTCTTAGAGCAGTCAGTCTCCAATAGCCTTTTGAAATCAAAGTGGCAATCACAAACATCTTTTCTGAAAATTTGCCTTCTGTGTGTTAGTCTTGTTATTCCTGTCAGGCAACAAACCATACAGAAGAAAAAGAGGAGGCAAAGGATGGGGTTTGTTTGTTTGTTTGTTTGTTTTCCCTGGCAGCAACAGTTTTAGTTGTTGGGCTGTAAAGTTAACCATGCGAAGTCTTCTAAAGCTGTCAGAACATTACTCCAATTTGGATTGTCTTTTGCTGTTGTTCACCTCTGCTTCTAGCTATGATGTCTTTATGGTATACTTCAAACTTCAGAGTTATCTTGGATTGCTTAGAATTTCATCCACTCAAATTTTGAATATCTCCAAGGATGGAGATTCCCCAGCCCCACTGGACAACCTGTTCCAGTGTTCAGCTGCCCTCACTGTGTGATTTTTTTCTTTTTCTTTTTTTTATTTTTTTCCCCCCTCCCCTTACACTTGCTCTTAACTTTCTTGGTGTGGCTTGTAAATGTTGCATCTCATCCTTTTGTTGTACGCTACCCAGAGTCTGGAACTGTCTTCTCTATAACAATAGATAAGGTGGTGTAAGACGGCAAGTAGATCCTTGCTTACTGATACTCCTCTTGCATGTAATAGTCCAGCCTCCTAACTATTTTGGTGGGGCCCCTGCTGGTTCCTCTCCAGTTTGTCATCTGTCTTGAGGGGTTCAAAACTGGACACAGCACTCCAGCTGTAGCCTCATGAGTGCCAGACAAAGGAGAATGATCACTTCCCTTCATCTGGTTGCTATGCTCTTGCTAATTCAGCCCAGTAGGCTGTTAGCTTTCAATGCTGCAAGTGACATGATGCTGAATCGTGTTCAGTTTGTTGTCCACCAGGAGTTACAGGTTCTGCCCCGAAGCTGCTTGACAGCCACTTGGCCCTCAGCCTGCACCGTTGCATGGAGTTATTTCATTCTAGGTGCAAGCTTTGCATTTGTCTTTGTAATTGGTAAATACAATCCTTACTGATTTGGCTACACTAAGGAACGTGGGCCCTTTGTTTTCTCATCCTGTCAGATCCAGTTTCTGTTTAGGTTTATAATGCCCGAGGTCTTGCTGGAATGGTTGAGTGAACTTCTCTTTTAAGTGCAAAAATTTCAGTGCTTCAAGATACTTTTTTTTTTCCTCAGATGTTAGCTGGAATCCTTTTACAAGGCATTACCTCACAAAATTCCTTGTGGCCTGCAGTCAAATAATATTACAAAGATCAGGAAATGAATTTATCTCTAACTTTTTTCCAGTAACTTTGCCAGGACGATGACACTTTTTTCTTTTTCACAAGGATTGATTTTTAGTTTATAAATCAGGCATTCAAAATTTGCAGGCTTCACAAACCAAAACATGGAACCAGATAATGACTTCATATGCAAATATGTGTTTTGGTAATATTCTTTTAAAAGAGAAAATGAGCAGATTTGACCTTTACAGCTTATGACCTAAGAAGAATACTAACAGTGTGGATGGAGTAGATTTTATGGCTGATACTATGCACTTGTCAAAGACTGACAACACGCTATAGTAGCAGAGTGGAAAAAATGCCCTACATGCACTTTTGTGAATTAAAATCTTCGTCCTTTGGATAAAAAAAAACAACCCAGAATTGTTTCTTACACCTTCAGACATTTCTGATACAGATATAACTCTCCTGTTCATAATATATACCCAAATGTGCATATCGTAGCCATATATAACTATGTGGTGCCCCATGATCACGGTTTAACAGAGCAAATTCCTTTTGAGATCTAAAGGAGGCTGACTTGGGATCTCAGAAGTCTGACTGTTGCATAGCTGAACAAGGATAATAAGCTCATGGAATAGCTTTTAAGTGTCTGTTGACGTTCTATATAATATAAGGATGTAATCCTAAAGCTTCATTGATAAGGGCCTTATTTTTTACCCTGAGGCCTTAGTCATGAGTATTCAAACTTGCCCATAACCTTGTTAATATTTTTTATTGGTGACAGTACCAAGTTCGTAGTTTGAACAGTTCAAGAAATATTTCATCCCTTCAGAAACTTGAGACACGTTATGAACTCTTTGCAAAGAACAGCAGAACAATCTCCATCCCTGATTTGCTTTGGCATCCTTTCTTTGGGACATAAATGTCTCCCTGAGTTGTCAGTGCCAAAGACTCTAAAGTTTCTGGCAGCTATTCATCTCTTCTTGGCTTGTGATCTCAGCTCAGTACCCTCATTCTATTGAAAGTATATATATAGAAGTGACACTTTGGAATCTCCTCCACTCCATGTTTTGCTTCTTTGCTATTTGGTGCCCATGATCAAGGACACTGGGATCTCCTCCTGCTTGAAGTAATATCCAAAAAGTCTATACAGTAGTTTTTTACTGTACAGGCGCAGGCAAAAGGTTCAGGTAGCGTGTTCCCTACAGGTGTCTGAGGTATTAAGTCTTAAATGATTTGCTTATGTTTACTTGATCTGTCTTGTGTCTAGTGCTAAATGGTATACCAGAAGTATACATTCTTAGGATGGTTAGTTTCAGAAGCCTTGCAACTTTTCATGACCAGCCTCTTGGGGGAGAGATGGATTTATTCTGCTTATGATCTTTAATCATAAAGACATGTTTATTCATCTTTATTTGCTTCATCAAGCTAAGCAGTGTTCAGAACTAACATTGTTAGATCCCCATACAAATACTCATATTTAAAGATGAATGTATTTCCTCCAGGGTAAAGCCACAGATGGGTTGAGAGTGCTTGTCATCTCCTGGCTAATTAGCTAATTTGGTACATTCATTCCGCCCCCCTCCCCCCCAGCCCCTCCCTGGCCCGCCTTGTTACTTGACCTTAAAATGAGGTAACTTTAGTGTTGAGATTAGTTACTCGTCACTACTGGGTTTAGTGATGTGACAACAATATCTTGATTTTATGTGTTCATTGTACCAGAACGTTATTATTTTTTGTCATTGCTGTCACAGCATCCACATGCTAGTTTTATGCATCGTCCAGCACAGGTTGGCTCAATCCCATCTGTGTCCCTCTTTCTCTTCCTGAAGCGGAGTGATGCTACCTTGCGATGTTCTGTGCTTGCAGGATGAAAGCGTAGAAGCATCTCTTTCTGTCTGAGAGAAGGCATAACTAATTAGAGGATGTGTTGAAGTAAACCATTTCTTTGAAAAACTGTTGTGTTTCATGGGTGAATAGTGGGCATTATATCATTTAACTTTACAAAATCATGTATTATTACATGTTTAGCATGCATAGTAATTAACATATTCTTTCAATTACAGTTCATTTGCCATGAAAAGGAGGATATGATAGTTTGCCCTATGAAACAGGTTTATATGTGAAATCTGGCAGGTACGTGTACTAGTATGTGTGGTGAGTATGCAAAACAACACAAAATATAATTAATATCTCTTACTTCTTTCTTAAATATTTTTTAGCCTGTTGGTAATTCAATTGTATAGCTGAAACATTACTAAAGTACATGTTTTTGTAGTTAAATTTGTAAGAGTTTACATAAAGGGCTATCTGCTAACTTATCTTTAAAGATGAGCTTTAATGATTATGAAAGGACTGAGGAATCAACCCCTTCTCATCTGTTGCCACTATATCCTTGACTACTTGGTATTGTCTGCTGCTTTGTTCTTTTTTTAATTGTGGGAATTGGATTGTTATTACAGTGTATTTTTATTTCAGTAACAAGTTGTCTTACTGTTTTCAGATACTTTTTGCAATTAGTCATGTTACGTACGAATACTTGCCTTTCCGATTGAGATGCATGTTCAAAACCTACTATGTCTCTATTGGGTTTTGTGTACCTTCCTGATAGAGCTTGGAATCCAGACTTTACTTGAATCCCAGGTATTTAGATTCTCGGTGTAGCCAAAAGGCAGAAATTCTTGCCCATGGAATATTAAAATATCCTGTGGATGTTGATGTATTGATAATTTGTTGCAATATTTGTAAAATTTGTTCCGTTCTCATTTTAATACAGGTAGCACAACGACCTGTGGAATATGAGTGATGACAAACCCTTTTTATGCACTGCCCCTGGATGTGGCCAGGTAATGGTCTGGCTTGAAGTTGTTAACATTGATCAAATAAAAGTAAAACAGTGAAACGTATTTATGGGGATCGAAGAAAGGGGATTTATGATAATGGGTAGAAAGTATCTATGTTTTGCTGAAAAGCAGGTGACGGCAAGAATTTCTAGCATTTTTTGTGTTTATTCAGAAAATGCTATCCATAGAAGAAAAAAACTATTTAAATTACCCTTTCTGAGCTGAAAACAATTTCATTTGTTAGCCTTGCTTTATTTGCTTTCATTAAAAAAATAAATAAATCAAGAAACAACCTAATTTCTATCAGGTAACCTGTATTTTTCAGAATATTTCAGTGTTAGTGGGGAGCTCATTGTGAAGCTTGCTTGTCACTAATCTTGACAACTGTGGTGACTGCAAATATTTAATGGCATAATTTTTATTTATGTATATTTTTGCATATAGGAAGATGCTAATAGTATGCATGCCACAAAATTTATTTCAATTCCTATTGTAGGTTTAATGTATTCTATTAAATAGCGTTAGTAGATATAGAGCTGAATGTGAGTAGAAGAGTAAAAATATTATTGAGTGTTTTAGCAGATGGTTGCTTAAAAGGAAGCTGTCTTAACACTTTAATTTAGTAACCTGAAAATAAATGAATTTGCATTATCTGCTGCATGATGGATATCCCTGCATACTTCATATAGAATTAATTTCTTAAACAAGCTGAATTTTTTTCATTATATTAGTGCACTTGGATTTATTTGGATTTTTAGTTCAAAATATTTTCACTTTTATTCTGAAAACTTGGGGTTTTTATGATGAATGACAGCATTAATGTTATATTAATGGAGCCTTCTGTATTTAAAGTGGGAAAGGACTAGTATTTCTTATTATGGCTGATATGTTCAGAGACATCAAAAGTAACAGAAGAGGACTGCCTTCTCCTAAGCAACACGTTTGTCCCCATCCTATTTGAATCTCGTTTAGATGTAAGCTCTGTCAGAAGTGTTTTGGCAACTAAATCTCATAGAAGATGCATCGTGGGGCTACAGCTATGCTTGATTCCAGTGAAGGAGAAGAGAGAAGTTCATGTCCCTGAAAATGAGCAAGGCTTCTCCAGATGCCAGCTCATACTATAGAATAGAGAGAGGGAGTCAGGATCTGGAGATCCTATTCCCTCTGAAGGAGCCTGTCCATCACATAGTGGGGACAGAGAGATGTACTTAAGTCTCTTAGTGTGATAGAACACCAAAGTTGCTGGCTTATGCTGTATCTAGAGATAAGGCACAGGAGCTATGGAGAGCTGGGCATTTGGAACCCTTGTCAACAGAGTTCTAACAAAAAAGTGCCTGGCCTGTATCACTCTGTCTTTCAGCGATCCTGCGTTTTTAATTTCCCTCTCAGCCCTACACATACATGTCCTTTCTCAGAAATATTCCGGATGACTGTACTGTGAGGTCAGCTAAGCTTTCTGTATTGTTTTCTGAGAGATGACAGTTGGTGTGTATCTGTTACCAGATACATGTGGAATGACTTAAATTATTGAGGAATAATCAGAAACATAACTTGGGACTCAAATGTTCACAAAGTAAGAATTTGAATATTTTGTAAAATGTGTTCTTTTTAGAAACCTGCATCTTGGGAAACATTTTCTTAGATTATCTCAATTGAAACACTAACTTTACCCACAATTACAGGTGCATAGCAAACTCCAAATTAGTAAAAGTAAGAATATCCATTTTACAGCACCTAGTTTGTCTGCTTACTGCTTTTTTTATAGAATGTGCCCCAAATTTGGGGGGAAGTATGCACAAAACTGGCATACTTCTGAAAATTTGAGAGATTTTTAAAATGCTGATAAGTTTAGTTCATTCACAGCTTTTCAGTTGTCTGACATTGTTCCAGTATTTCCCATTCTATCTGCCTCTTATTTTACATAGTAAATGGTCAGGGGCAGGATCTATACTTTATTTTATTTTTACGCTATTAAATACAGTGAAGTCTGTGTTTGTGATTACAGATCAATTCTCATTATTGTGATAATACACAATACAGAAATCAGATAGTGGTAATCAATTACTAAATACTGTCAAGATCCATTAGTATAGCAAATGGCAGTTTGCTAACAGTTGATGAAGTCTGCAGCACTCTGAAATTTTATCTTGGACTTTTGATGAATGCAGGTCCTTACACGACCATTTCCCTGATATCATTACTGTTTTGTTACTATGAACATCATTTGAGTTTTATAATATTTCTGCTTGGTACTGTTGACCAAGAAGCAAGATGTATCTGCCTAAGAGGGTTGTCTGTTAACGTAGTAATGATAGTTTTACGTGTCATAAAAATTACTTTCTGTAGAATTGCATTTACTTTGTTCACACTCAAAATTACAACTATTTCTTAAAACTTTCTGCTGCAGCGTTTTACCAATGAGGATCATTTGGCTGTCCATAAACATAAACATGAGATGACACTGAAATTTGGTCCGGCTCGTAATGATAGTGTCATTGTCGCTGGTTAGTATATACTTTTATAACTAGTTTATTCACTTTTCTCCTGGAATGGGCATACATTTTATGTATTTTTTGTACATAATGCATAGACGTATGTTAAGAGGATATGAAACATTTTCTTCACTATAGCTGTCTGCAATGTGTGCTTAGGCAATATTTTCATACAAAATTAGCTTTTGTCAGAATTCGAAGCCAATATTATTCTCCATAAGTAACTTTTATTTGGATTGGATATATAATCTAAATATTTTTCAACTATCAATACTTTAATAATTGATTAAATTATGTAATAAGCATTCAGTAAGAACACACACTAATAAAGGCTATACCTAACAGGATCTGTAACTAGATTAAACTGTATTTAAGTTTTAATTATTCATTGATATTACTTGTCTCTTAAATTTTAAAATATATAGTGTTTTTTACATACTATGGTGACATTAGAAGAATGAATTGGTAATTATTCTTTAAATGGGATAGGAGGAGAAGAAAGATAAAAATTTTTTTGTTTAATTTTAGCTTAAATTCAAAATACTTTTACTGTATTTCCACCTCTGAATTCATGGTATACACTTGGTCAGTTGTAACTAACTTTTTTGTTTGTCCAGGATCAGAAGTAATCGCCAATGGATGATTGATTGCATTACAGATTTTAAAGTTCTTGAATGAAGATAGCACATGCTAATTATTCTAAAGTTATAGTCAGACTGGTTTTTTTTCAGTGGTGGAACAGCCTAAATGAACTTCACAAAGGCTTTCAGACATTTTCAGAATTTTTTTTCCTTGAAAGTGGCTAATTTGTTAGGATGAGCAGACAAAAAAATTGTTACTCTTAAACCAGCAGTTACACATTTTAAAATTCTAAACATGATCCTAGGCAACTATACCGTAAGACAGGGGACCTGTCAAATAATAAGGTGTTTGAGAATGAAACCATGGCAGTGTCTGTCTCTTTGCAGCCACATGCCAACGTATGAACTTGTTAGTCGTAAACACCAGCTTACTAGTAAGGTGCACATAATACCGCTCTACAGTGTTTTACATGCAGGTAACTTTGTGGCAGATGTGGTTAATTTTGACCTGATAATAATAGTGAAATAAGGGGAATTTACATAATAACAAAAACTTCATAGAAAGACTTTTTTGAAACTGCTTCATGCAGTAGTCAGCCGGATGCCAGAAGTCTTATGGTTCCAGGTTGACTATACAGACATCATAGGAGTCAACACAATCTTGTGTATGATATGACACTTTACTTCCTTTTAGAAGTTCCACGCCCTTGAAAGTAATCACTACTGTTTTCAGTAGTGAAGAAGACGAGAAGAAACAAACTGTCCATGAGCTGTGCACTTTTCTCTCTCTCTTTTTTTTTCCTCTTTTTTTTTTTTTTTTAATTTAAGCCTTCATGTAAGCCTTATCTTTATTTGAAAATAGAGTCTGCTTGCTCACTGAAGTGATCTGCTGTGCTAGACTAGGCACTTGAGAATAGCTCCTTCTGGTTTCTGGACACAGACAGAAGAAATGCTTTGATACCCTCCCAAAACTAACTGTAAG